CACCAGGGAGCATGCAGCTTCCGTTGCCGCACTAATGTCAGCTGGCCCACTTCCGACGCATTGTCGAGTATGCCAACATGCTCCTGATTTTGAAAACATTACCATGGTCGGAAAACACCAAAACCAGCTTGCAAGGGAAATCCTGGAATCTCTGGCTATTGAGGCGCACGGGGAGGACTGCGTGAGTGCCGCCTCCCATTACGCTATTTCTGAAAGAAAAACTGCATCTTCTGGGAGCGCCCCAAGTGAACATTTGAACGCCAGCCACCAAATATTGCCGCGCGCAGGGTCACGAACGTGTTGAAGATTGTCGTTTATTCTTGCTCCGGACATAACTTCTATCGTTTATCCCTGCTCTTGTTGTTCTAGAAAGTGCGTGTTCATTCTCGCCCCCATCGCGCTACGCTCGAACCTTCTTCGCCGAGTCTTCGAGATAGTGACTCACTCTAGATAAGAGGCCGCCCGCGACCTTGTCGAGTCAGTTTCGCCACAGCGTTCGACTCTGCCGCCCACTTCGACGCCCGCGACGCTTTGCTTTCTTCTGCCTCCTTTTTTATTTTTTTTGGGCACAAGTTCGCCCCATTAAACATTTCAGTTTTCCCCAGTTATTCTTTGTTTCGCCTTGTTATTCGTGACATTTTGGTGGAGGTGCGGGGTACCGTATGTCCGTGCAGCGCTCCCGTCCTAGGGCCCACAGTGCAAGTCCGATTCCAAGCCCGGTGAGAATACCACTCAACGCGGAACCTGAAACTCGGACCAGCCGTCGCACCAAGAAACAGGATCCATGAATACGGTTTGCTGCTGGACAGATTTTTTTGAGTCGGGGCTCTCGTAAAAAATTTAAGAAAAACTTGTCCCCTGCCCGCTCCCGCTTTCGCACCGCAGGCTTAACCCAATTCCAATAAAAATGAATAGGATCATGTGATCAAGTGAAAATTTCAGGAAAAAGCCAATTGGAATTAAGGGGTTATAAATGAAACCAACTATTGTATTGTACAGCCAGTGGAACGGCCCGGGAAAACCAGTGGTACTAAAAGTACCCACTTGCTCGACTCACTGTCCGGCTCCGCTACTAAGACATGAGTGCGTCTCACAGCGGGTCCGACGGTCACTGAATGGCAACCATGAACCATCCAGCCCCGCCGATCAGTGATCACTTTTATATCCCTCGGCTCCCCTGGAGATCACCCCCGCCACCATGCGGGGGCACCTCCCTACGTGGGAAGTTACGAGGGGCACCACCTTTATGATAGCTTCCCCTGGTATGGACCCCGCCTCAGTGGCTCCGCTTCCATGGGGTAAGCTAGGGTTCCCAGGCCCTTTTTGTCCCCCCCGTCCACATGCGGAACCCCAGTGCTAGGGTTCCCCATCCCAGGTGGGGGGGTTTTCGCCAGAGCCTCCGTTGCAGCAATAAAGCTGGCAGGGCGCACCACGAGCAGGTGGAGGTTGACTTCCCACGCGGCAACAACCGCGGGGGCTTGCGCCCCTTCCGAAGCCGAAGAAGACGATGGCCAACCAGTCGCCGACCCCCGCCGCTCCTGCCGTCGTCTACCTGCCCGTCGCTCCTCGCACGCCGACTCCTTTCCACAGCGATATCCACGAGAATGTCCAAGACTGGATCAAGAACTACGAGCGTGTGGCGCGCCTTAACGGATGGACTGCGGAGCAGTGCCTCCAGAACCTCTACTTTTTGATGGAGGATACTGCGAGGCATTGGTTCGAGAATCACGAGGCTTCGCTTACGTCGAGGGACATCTGTGTGGCCGAGTTGCAGCGGACGTTCGCCACCCTACACCGACAGGAGAGGGCAGAAGATCTCCTCCGGATTCCAACTCAGGGCCCCAAAGAAAGCGTCGCAAGCTTCCTAGAAGATGTCCTCCGCCTGAGCGCCCGTGCCGACCCACGAGCCACAGATGACAAGGAGCTGCGGGTCGTCATGCGCGGGGTGAGAGACGACATCTTTGGAGGCCTCGTGCGCAACCCGCCGGGCACTGTCGAAGCCTTCGTCACCGAGGCGACAAACATCGAGAGCGCTCTCCAAGCGCGCGCTTCCCACTACCAGTGAAATCCAAGCGTCGCCGCAACCGCGCTCCTTAGTGGGAAAAACGCTCCTGGTACGGACATCCGCGAAATTATCCGGGAGGTCGTCCGGGAGGAACTCCGCCAGGTGCTGCCAGCCGCAATTCGTCCAGCGACACTCTCCATCGCCGAGGCTGTGCGCGAGGAAGTACAACGGGCGGTCCACCCAGAAGTTCCCATCAACACGGCGACACCAGAGGAACCGACGTTAATCTACGCCGCAATGGTCCGCCGAGCACCACCAGCACCGCGTCCGTACATGGCGCCTCCCCGACATGTGCCTCCAGAGCCGCAGTATTCCCGACGCCAGGAAAAGCGAGAGCACGTTCGTCCAGAACAAATTGCACCAAGGAAAAACGACGTGTGGAGGACGGCTGATCGACGCCCCTTGTGCTACCGCTGCGGGGAAGCCGACCATTTCTACCGACGATGCCCCTACCGCCAGCTCGGCCTACGAGGGTTTGCAACCAACGACCCTCTACCACGCCTCGGAGAGCGACCTCGGGACATCGAGGACTACCTCCGCCCCTCTTCATCTCCTGAGTCGACTCCCGGAGGCGCGTGCACGCACGTGCTGAGAGCGGACGCATGTTCTATGGGCTCCGCAGAAAATCGTCCTTTTTCTTGGAAAATTCCTTTTCTGTGCGGTGAAAAGTGTTGGAGAAGACAGAGCTAACGTTCCGGTTTCGCTCGATACCACTTTCATGCCGGTGAGCCGAATCTTTCTCATTTCAAGGACATTGTCACGATTCTGGCCCACGGAGGGCCTGTTAACACTCGTTAGGCTTTGCGCCGCAGGGCGCGCCGCACCGAGCTTCTCGGAGCGGCCGCCTAGCTAGGCCTATCGCGTGGCGGTCGCCGTCCTGGTGGGGGCTGAAGGCTGGAGGATGGATACAAGGACCCAAGAAACTCCAGGTACCGGTCGAGTGATCGGCTATAACCCAGACGAGGTGGCGCATGGATTTATCAACCCGGCGCAGCGGCCACTCCGGGATGATAGAATCAAGGATGCCACCTTGGGGGACCAGGAGGACGGAGGACCCGGCAACGGCTGGGTGCAAGTACTGATGCAGAAGAAAAAGAGCAAGAGGGAGACACAAGGCCTCGAGAAACAGGTTCGAGATGAAGCCGGGGGAACAACGGCGGAGAATTTCAAGTCGAGGAAAACTCTGAGGTTGCCCAGTCTCAGAGTTTACAAGCACAAGGTCATTATCAAACCTCATCGGGTCGCGGTGGACCTGAAGCGGTACAGGAGCCTGATCGGGGAAGCGGTCCAGAGCTCCCTGCCGAGAGGATTGGACGAGAAGACGGTCGTAAGGCTGCTGGAAGCACAGAATACAATCATGGTTTGTACGGACGAATGAAGCGAAGCGGAAGCCGTCGCAGGTATCAAGAAACTGAATTTTCCTGTCGGCGTGCTAGACGTCGAAGCGTATCATGTCTCCCCGAGCGATGATGCGTGCCGCGGCGTCATACACGGTGTCCGGCCTGACCTGACTAACGAACAGATTCGACCGAAAACCAGAGCTGTGGGATACGAAGTTCTAGAAGCAAGGAGGCTAGGGAAGTCACAGTCTGCGGTAATGGTATTTGCGGGGAAGAAGGTACCGTTCACGGTGAGCTTCAATTGGCTTGAGACTCCCTGCTTTATCTATAAGAAGACTAGGGCGGCTTGTCTGAACTGTGGTGAAGTGGGCCATCGGACCGACGTATGCAGCAAGCCGGAGGGATTTGCGTGCTCGGCGTGCAGGGCCACTGAGGTCGGTGAGGACCATGAGTGTGTGCCGAAGTGTGCCTTGTGCGGGGGGGGGGGGGGGGGGCCCACAAGACCTACGACAGACACTGCCCGGAGAAGTTCTACAAGGAGACTAAAAGCAGGGAGCCTAGACGGAGTCGGGGGAGACGTCGCGACGGCGCGCAGCACGTGCGGTGGCTTTCGAGAGAATCGGGACGGAGCGTGTCAGACTCGCGCACCCGCTCGCGCAGCCGGTCCGCCAGCTGTGGGAGAAGCGCGTCTCGAGATATGACTACATCCAAGCGGCGCCGGCAAAAGGGCAAGCGAAAAAAGAGCAAGCGAAGCACCTCTATGGAAGGGATCTTCACTGATCCAGGCAATCGCAAGAAGTGGCCGGAACTCCCAAGGGTCGGGGATCAGGAGTCGAGGAGCACGTCCCAGCCCAAAGGTGGAGGGGCGAGCCGCAACGGAGCGATACAAGACCTGCGGAGGGACGTGACCCACTGCAAAAAGACCATAGAGGAACTTTGGAACAAAAGAGAAAGAACCGGGGGAGTCTCAGCAGAGCAAGTACAAGCGATCATGGAGACGACCGTTCAGCGGGCGATCCAGGGACTTCAAGAATTCTACACCAGCCAACTGATGCAGCTGACATGCAGGGTCACCGAGCTGGAGAAATTAGGAAAGACTCTTGAGCAAAACCAAGAGAGCTTCTTCAGGCAGTTCGTCTCGAAGCGGAGAAAAACGGGCGAGCCTCTACGGGACGCAGAAATTTCGGACGCAGAATCATGCGCAAGTCAGCGAAGCCAGGTTTGAAAGTGTGGCAGTGGAACTGCAGGGGGTGGGTCGGAAACAGGCGAGCCTTAGCCTGAGGGTGTCGCTTGAACCCAATCTCCCGGCGGTGATACTGCTGCAGGAGCCGGGCAAGAAACCAGTGAAGATCAAAGACTATGCTACAATTGAGGGCGACCAATACGTCGCGACGCTTGTGCACAAGACCTACGCAGCCACGAGACTAGACTTGGAGCCCTAAACTCGTCGAACACAAAGTTAGAGCCGAAAGTTCGCGGAGCGCGCCGATTGGACGTCGGCGTAAAAAACGCCAAGTCATCGTCGTGATAGGCCAATCGGTGCGCTCCGTCAACTTGGGCCCAAACTTTGTGTTTGACGAGTTTAGGGCCCTTGGATGGCTGTGAGGTGTCGTGCTGTCACATTGTGATCATCCCAGTGAAAAAAGGGGATCGGGGTGTACATGTGGTGAACGTGTATGGAAATCCAAAGAACCATAAGACGGACTACAGGCGGCTCATCGCGAAGGTGGTCAAGGAGGCGGGGAAGGACCCTGTGGTTATTGCGGGAGACTTCAACGCCCCTCACCCGGGATGGGGTTACAAGTACGTTTCTCCGAAAGGCAGAAGGCGGGCGGAGAGCATCAACCAGGAACGCCTAACATTGCTTACCGAGGTTGATCAGCCAACCAGGACGGGCACGAGCTCATGCATGCAGAGACACCTGTCCGGACCTGACGCTTGTCAAGAACGTGGCGAACGCTGAGTGGACTAACCTCATGGAGCAACTCGGTAGCGATCATTGTATCCTCGAAACGACTATTCACGAGTCCGGATACACAAGAAAGACGGGAAAGGCAAGAATAACGGATTGGGACCGATGGCGAAAACAGAGAGGGAAAGGTGCAGCTAGCATCGAGAGCATCGAGGATTGGTCTTCGGAGGTGATCGCCAGTGTCAAGCCGTTCGTGGCTGAAGTTGAACTCTCAGAGAAGACCCCAGCAATGGACACGCGTCTGCTTCATCTTTGGGAAGCACGACGCGGGCTGGCCAGGAGATGGAAGAAACAGCGCTACAACAAGAAGCTGAGGAAGAGGATTCAAGCACTCACAAAGCTAGCAGAGGACTATGCGGTGGACTTGGCTAGGAAGAACTGGTATGGCCTGTGTGACTCTATACGGGGAAGCCTAGGCACGGCTCAGACATGGAGGATGCTTAGGGCCTTAATCGATCCGAGTAGGGCAAAGGCGGTGACGGGCGGCCGTTTAGCGGAACTGATACATAAGTTACCCGGGGACCGCAAGCAGATCATGGATCGGCTGGCTGGAATCCACAGGAGAAATCGTGGAGTATGAAGGGCAGGAAAACCCTGAATTAGACAGGCCAATTACTGTCGCGGAGTTGGAGTATGAGCTCGGGGTTATGAGGAAGGGCGCAGCACCCGGACCGGACTCCCTCACAGCGAAACTCCTCTACAACTTAGGGGAAGGGGACCTGAAAAAGCTGGTACGCCATTTCAACGAACATTTCTGGGAGCGCGGGCTTACTCCAGATAGTTGGAAGGTTGCTGACATTCGCTTCATTCCAAAACCCAAAAAGGAGCTCAAGCTAGAAAATCTGCGGCCGATTTCGCTTACATCTTGCCTGGGCGAGGCGTTCGAACGAGTCATAAACTCCAGGGTTATGAAGTATCTAGACAAGGAACAACTCCTTCCGAACACGCAGTTCGGGTTCAGGCCTCACACATCGACGCTGGACATACTCTTGTGGATATATAAGGATATACTGGAGAATCCGAGGAGCGGCCAAACGAGATGCCTTCTAGCTTTAGACTTGAAAGGCGCGTTTGATAATGTTTCGCACGAAAGCATATTTAGGGGTCTCAGCACAGTTAACTGCGGGAGAAGAACCTTCGAATATGTCCGCAGTTTCTTGACGGACAGGACAGCCACGTTGACGTTGGGAAGTATGCAATCTGGGACATACAGACTGGGTTCCAGGGGTACGCCGCAAGGGGCAGTACTTTCCCCGTTGCTGTTCAACCTTGCGCTGCGGGGTCTACCAGAAGCGCTGAGGGCGGTTCCGAACGTGGAGCATGCCATCTACGCGGATGACATCACCCTGTGGTGCAGGGAGGGCAGTGACGCGGAAATAGAAGAGAAGCTTCAGGCGGCGGCGGATATCGTCGGAGAGTACGTTATGAGATGCGGGCTTAAGTGCGCCCCGGAGAAATCTGAGCTTCTTGTCTTTCGAAACCCTCGCGATAAGCTAGTCGATCACATTGACGTGGTGATAGATGGGGTCCGGGTCCCAAAACCAGCGGAGGTTCGGATTCTGGGCCAGCTTCTACAACAGGGGAGGGGGAACAAGTCGACTATCGACAGACTGGACGCCATGACCACGCAGGTGTGCGGTATGATGAGGCGAATTAGGAACCGTAGACACGGTATAAAGGAGAAAGAGGCAATACAGTTGGTCCAGGCCTTCATTATTGCCAGACGGACGTACGGCACTCCGTACCTGAACTTGAACAAGGCGGAGATGCAAAAGCTAAAGTACTGATAAGGAGAGCGTACAAAAACGCGCTGGGGCTACCGGAGCGTACGGCGACCGAGAAACTGCTTAAACTTGGGATGCATAACACCATAGAAGAACTTCATGAAGCTCAACTAGTGTCACAGCTGAAGCGACTCTCTTCCACAGTGAATGGAGCGTGGCTTCTGGACAAACTGGGAATGGCAGTACCCGGCGGTTCTCACGGGCCCGGAGACGCGGGGGAAGAGCTGCCGGCTGAGACCCGGCAGAGATTCACGATCAGTAGAATCCCCCGCAACATGCACCCGGATAGGAATGCGGAACGGAGACAAGCGCGAGCGGTAGCCCTAGCGCGTTCCTGGGACAGCAGAGAGGGAACCCTGTACGTGGATGGGGCCGGTCCGGTGCTAGGGGTGGCTGCAATAGCGGTGGCCAGTGCGCAAGGGCAGATCAGACGCGTCGCCTCCGTACGAGCGCAGACGGTTGAACAAGTGGAGGAGGCGGCCATAGCATTGGCGGTGGTTTGCAATCCTCGTGCGACGATAATTTCGGATTCACAAAGAGCTTGTCAAAACTTTGCGCGAGGGGTCGTGGGTCAACCAGCTCTAAGGCTCCTCCGCAAAACCGCAGTAGAGGGAGTACATCTGATCTGGACCCCCGGCCATATGGGGCAAGTCGGAAACGAGGCGGCGAATGCTGCGGCCCGAGGTGCGTTATACCGGGACTCGGTTCTGCCCCAGAGGGATCTGGACAATGCGCTCACTCACAGTGAGGCCTTAAAGGCTCTACGAACACATAGGGCAGAATATCCTGGGCCGGCCAAAGGTCTCAGCAAAGAAGAAGAGTTCACGTGGAGACGACTTCAGACGGACACGTTCGTCACACCGATCCAGCTACATCTGTGGTACCCAGAGCGGTACGCCACGGCGGACTGTCCCTTCTGTGGTGAGCCCTGGGTGGACGTTTATCACGTTGTCTGGGCATGCAAGAACCTCCCAGGACTGGCTCCAGTCGAGGAGCCCAAACTCGAGGAGTGGGAAGCGGGACTCAAGTACGCGACGGCTAGCGAGCAGAGGGTGCTCGTGGCCCGAGCACTCCGAGTTCACTCCGCACTTGGAGCCCCGGAATAGGGGCACACAACCACTCTCTCCTTTTTCTTCCCCTTTCTCCCCTTCCCTTTCCTAAATCTTTCAACTCAATAAAGTTTTTCAACAACAACAACTCCCCGACGCTCGCCATCGCCCTTCCCCCGATCTCGCCGAGACAGCCTGTCACCTATCGCTTCCCGTCGGGAAAACTAGGCGCGGCAATGCCGGGAGCAGGTGTTGCCGAAGACGAACGATGCCAAGATCCTCCAAGATCGTCGGAGCACTCCCACTCTAACGCCGCAACGCCCCAAAACGACGTTTCTGCAAGAGTATCGAATAACCTCAACGTTATCATCGACGGCCACGACGCGACAGCGCTCGTCGACACCGGAGCAGATTACTCCGTTTTGAGTGGGAGACTCTCGTCGCCTTCGGAAAGTTACGACGTCGTGGGACGGTCCGCAGATACGAACCACCGGCGGACATCTCATCACACCTGTCGGCAGGTTCACGGCTCGCCTTGAGATCCACGGTGAAACCTGCCCCGTGAAGTTCGTTCTGCAAGACTGTTCGAGGGACGTCATTCTCGGAATAGACTTCTTGTGTGAAAACGGCGCCATCGTCGGCCTTGCAGAGAACAAGCTGACGCTTCGGAAACCTGTCCCATCGGCGGAAAATCCCAAAGCGACGTTAGCAGCAGTGCGAGTCCTTGCCAGCCACGTAAACCTGCCGCCGCTGTCGAGCGTCTTTGTGCCCGTTGGGACCGAAGAAGCCCCCTGCATGGCAGCACTGTTAAAAGGAAGCGTCCAACTTCTCGTTGGACCAGGGATTGGCAATGCCAGAGGCGTAACCGAGCTCCAGGACGGGCGTACCGTAGCCCTTGTCACCAACTTCCGGCAAGAGTCGCAGCACTTTACAATCGGTAGAGCTGTGGGCTACGTCGAGGAATTTCAGGACTCATCCGCGATCAACGAGATCTCAGAAGACCCCTCACCGACGCAGAACAAGACAATCACGTCATCAGAGCTCGACATCGACCCGTGCCTCCGAGCCCCACAACGACAACTCAGTGACCTTCTCGCCCAGTTCAGTGAGTGCTTCTACACGTCGTCGAAGGTGGGCCAAACGACGGTTGCGAAACGTCGAATAATTACTGATGACGACGCACTCCCTGTGCATCGGCCGCCGTACAGGGTCTCCGTGAAAGAAAGGGAAGCCATCCAGGAGCAAGTTCAGGAAATGATTAATGACGACATCGTCCAGCCCTCAAACAGTCCGTGGGCTTCCCCAGTAGTGCTGACGAAGAAGAAAGACGGAACCTTGAGGTTCTGCGTGGACTATTGCCGGCTGAACGCAGTAACAAAAAAGGACGTCTATCCGCTGCCCCCCATCGATGACACCCGGGACCGGCTGCGCCACGCCCGATACTTTTCGTCGGTGGACTTGAAGAGCGGGTACTGGCTGATTGAGGTCGACGAACGAGATCGTGAGAGGACGGCCTTCGTCACGCCGGACGGACTGTATGAGTTTAAAGTAATGCGTTCGGGCTGTGCACAGCGCCGGCAACCTTCCAGCGCGTTATGGACACCGTCCTTTTCGGCTTGAAATGTCAAAGCTGTCTCGTCTACCTCGACGATGTTGTGGCGTTTGCAAGCGAATTCGGTGAGCACCTGAGACGGCTGCGAGCCGTGCTACGGGACTTCAAGGCTGCTGGGCTGACACTCAAGCCTTCCAAGTGTCGGTTCGCCTATGGTGAGCTGAAATTCTTGAGCCGCGTCGTGAGTGCTCAGGGTGTAAGCCCTGATCCTGCAAAGACGTCCGCTGTCGCCGAATTCCCGAAACCATCAGAAAAGAAGGACGTTCGAAGATTCCTTGGGCTGTGCGCCTATTACAGACGTTTCGTTCGTGACTTTGCGCAAATGTCTGCACCACTGACGCATCTGACGAAAGACGACGTGCAGTTCTAGTGGGGAGAGAGGCAAGAGCAAGCGTTCCACGAACTCAAGCGAAGGCTCCAGTCGCCCCCTATCCTCGGACATTTTGACCAGTCAACGGAGACTGAAATCCACACGGATGCGAAGAATACCGGTCTCGGTGCGGTACTCGTTCAGCGACAAGAAGGGGCACAGCGAGTAATCGCTTACGCAAGCCGGGCGCTGTATAAGGGAGAACAAAATTATTGAACGACCGACAAAGAATGTCTTGTTGTCGTCTGGGCGATAACCAAGTTCCGTCCGTACTTGTACGGAATCCCGTTTCACGTGGTCACAGACCACCATGCCCTCTGCTGGCTCGCAAACCTCAAGGATCCGTCCGGACGCCTCGCCCGCTGGAGTCTTCGACTGCAGGATTTCGACGTAACCATTGTGCATAAGTCCGGCCGCAAGCAGAATGACGCTGACTGTTTGTCTAGGGCTCCAGTCGAACCTTCCATTGCCGGCGTCGACGACGGTGACGACGAATGTTTCCTAGGTGCCGTAGACACCGACGACATGGCAGGGCTCCAACGAGACGATCCCGAGCTGCGCGTCCTGATTGAGCATCTAGAAGGACGAGGAAGTCCCGTTCCTTGTGCCTTTTCACGAGCCCTGCCGACCTTCACTATTCGACGAAGCGTGCTTTATAAGAAGAATTTTTGAACCAGCAATTCGCCGTGGCTTCTGGTAGTCCCTACCAGCCTTCGAGGAGAGATTTTTCAAGCCTGCCACGACAACCCGACTTCAGGACACCTCGGTTGCAGCCGGACACTAGCCCGAATACGTGAAAAATACTACTGGCCCTGGCTTCCGAAGACCGTCCATCTCTACACACGATCGTGCCATGAGTGCCAGCGACGCAAGAAACCGTCTTCAAAGCCAGCAGGTCTCCTTCACGCCAACCAAGCCCTTCCAGCAAATTGGAATGGATTTGCTGGGTCCTTTTCCACCGTCGACGATGGGGAACCGCTGGATAATCGTCGCCACCGATTACCTTACTCATTACGCCGAGACGAAAGCCCTTCCGTCGGGGACTGCTGTTGAAGTCGCCAAGTTCTTCGTCGAGTCCATCGTCCTCTGGCATGGCGCCCTCGAAGTCCTGATCACAGACCGAGGGTCATCGTTCATGGCACAATTGACCCAAGAGATCCTTTGTCTAAGCCACACGGAGCACCGTCGAACTGCATACCATCCGCAGACCAACGGGTTGACGGAGCGACTCAACAAAACAATCGCCGACATGGTCTCTATGTACGTCGACGTGGAGCACATGACCTGGGACGAAGTGCTGCCCTACGTCACGTTCGCCTGCAACACAGCAGTGCAAGAGATCACAGGAGTGACACCCTCTTCAAGCTGGTGTATGGCCGGACGGTGACGACTATGCTTGACTCCATGTTGCAGCACGAGTCAGTCAACGACGGGAGCGATGACACCCAGGGGCTCTAAGTTGGACGGCGGCGAAAAAACGGGCGAGAACACGTCACGAAGAAAGGAGGCTCTTAAGGACCCGCCCCTGAGGCGAACTGTGGCGATTTTCGCTCTCCTTTCTTACATTTCCGACCCCCACTTTGGCTGAGACATCACGCGAGTCTAGTGCCAATCGCCCTTGCGTTTTCCTTATACGCGCGCCGGCGCAATACCACCTAGAGGAGAAGGCCACCACAAGCCTCCAGTGACGTCACGGCAGCAGGCTGACGAGCGCCGCGCTACAGAGCTGAGCTGAAGGCTTCGCGGGTAGCTTTTACGTAGTATAAACGTGGGTTTTCGCGCTATTTTTTTATGAGCTAACATGTGAGCTGTGAACGCCGAGTGATTTAAAGAACCAATTTTAGAACGCAGGAAAATTTTTATAACCTACAATCATTGTAGTTAAATACAAGAAAGTTATATCTTGAGACAGATGTATTATTTTTAAGCGAGAAACTGGGTGGTGTAATTTTTTTTTGAACGACATGGGAGTTGCATAAAAAAAGAATCCCTATGAAAGGGTAATAATCGAGGTAGTAGGACCAAATAAATTGAACTAAAGTACCAATTGAATAAATGATGCAGAGTCATTCATGTCATTTAATTTTATTCACCTCAAAGGCATCCAAAGACGCATTACATCAGGGGGCATTCAAAAATAAAAAACAAAAAGTAATTAAACCTAAAAGATAGACACCAACAAAAAAATGTCACAGACACACAAAAAAAAAACGCTTATTAGCATGTTATTGTTATGATGCAGCTTTACAAATCAAGGTTCAGTTAGACAAATTGATGCACTTCTTTTTAAATGAAATGGAATATCTCTCAGTTACAATACGGTCAGTTAGTTTGTTCCAGTCAGTGTTGCAAAGTACCAAGGAAGAAAAGAGGAAAGTGTAAGTATGGCACTGATATGGTTCAATCTTGCAGGAATTATCTAATATGGATGATATAAAAATGGCAGCCCAGCACTAAATAGATTAAAATTAAAATCTGAGTAATATAAATCTTGAAAAAAAAAAAAAAAACACAATCGGGCTATTTTTCGTCTTCTTTCTAGGTTAGGAAGGTTTATGCTAGCTTTTAAAGTGGAGACACTAGTTTCGGATGAATAATCACTGCATTTAAATCTGGCTGCTTTGTTCTGAAGATTCGATCGAGCCTCGAGATTAGGTAACTTAGGTGTGGATTCCAAATTATGCTTAAATATTCTAATGTTGGGAGGATAAATATTTTGTATGTGAGTAGTTTTGTCTGGATAGGGAGCTAGATCCCTACTGGAAAATCCCATTTGCATGAGGAATTTCTGTATCCAATACACATATGAATCATACAAGATATATAAGAGCCCTATAAAAAACATACAAGAACTATATAAAAACATATAAGAAACTTGTAAGAAGTTTCTTATGTATCTTATACATTTCTCATATAGTTGTTATGTTGTTATTATATATCTTGTATGATTCATGTGTTTATTGAACACAAGAATTTTTTCATACAAATGGCTTTTTCCCAAACCAAGTGTTTTTAGTGCGCTCTTTTTATTTGCTCAATCCATATGAGTCTGTAAAATACACGCCCAAATACTTGTGCGACAATGATTGTTCTAGTGGTTGGGAAAATAACAAATACTGGGTTAGTGTTTTAGTAGAGGACTTAATTACGGACAT